GTTTCAGTGAATATGACAAAAAGTTATTTTTATAAAAATTACCTACTGCAGCTTTAATCATGTGGCACTATGTCCAGTACAATACCCATATCATGATTACTTTAGACAACTTTGTCCAGTTTGTATTCAATCAGTAGGCATTCATAACTCATATAGGAGACGTTACTGGAGAATTACAATGTACGTAAACACAAAGCGTTCCCATTTAAAATCCACTGTTTCCCAACCTAACTGACTTGTGACCCTTCATTGTTAAGCTCTCTTAGTATGAGTGTTTGTGAACAGTTCATCCTAAAAACTGATGTTCCCTATTAACATTGCTTCATTTGAATAGGATTTAGAGGCATTAAGAGAAACAAAGCAGCAGGAATGTTTTTTTTGCCTGGTTGCGTGTGTAGTCCGTTCTGAAGTGGGCCACCATGAGAGTGACCGGCGTAGTCACTGGGAGGTGGTGTCACAACTGCAAGGTTTACAAAAGATTTAACTCATTTATTCTGGTGACCTGAATATTTCCTTGTTCCACACACACTTCATAAAACTTCACCCAAAAAGCAGAACCCTGTATTCATCTGCACTGCAACTCTGAAACTCTTTGTTCTCACTGTCTTTGTCTGTCTTGTGTCTTGTGTGTGGAGAACTCTTGAGTGTGTGCGGCTTCTGCTCGGGTGTGATGTAACATTTTCAGCTACAAGCACCTTTGATCTGTACATCCAGCCTAACGTAGCTTCTCCCATCTCTACCCCCAGATGACGCTCGTCTGTTCGGCTTTGTTCGGATCACAACGGGAGACGCCATGAGCAAACGAGCTAAGTTTACTCTCATCACCTGGATCGGTGAGAACATCAGCGGGCTGCAGCGCGCCAAGATCAGCACCGACAAGGCGATGGTCAAAGAGATTGTGCAGGTCAGAGACTGCGGCGTTGCATGTGGAGAGAGTAGCAATCAAAATAGTGGTTGCCATCATGAGACTAAAATAGAGCTATAATGGTCCCTTTGAGAATAATGGGTGGTTACAGAGGCAATATGGCAACAGAATGCTGGATACAGTTAGACAAATAAGAGAATAGGGTTTAAAAAACAGAAAACCATTTCTCTAGATCATATGAAGATGGAACGTAATAGGGGGAAACATAATAAACAGAA